ATCCGTTGATTGAATCTTGTTTGCCTGTCGACATATTGAGAATTTGGGGAAGAAATTTGAATTCCATATCCCTAACATCTAAAGAAGAAACCGTTGATAAGTTAGATAACCTGATGAAATTTTTATGTCACGAGATTGAAAGCAAAGAGCACGGACCAGATTTAACCGTGAAACCGAAATCGAAAGCAAAATTATTTCACCCGCGTCAGCACGATGAGAAAGATTTACTCCGACAGCTGCAGAGTTATGTAAACGTTTCGGATATTAAAAAGGAAACTTGCGTATTTTGTAACAAAGCACATATGAGTAGCCAGTGTAGGTATGCTGATAATTTGCCTTATGAAGAGAAAAAGCAAATGTTGTTAAAAAAGGGGTGCATGTTTCAGATGCTTAGCAGTAAGAAAGCATATTTCTCGATTTTGTAAAATGAAAGTACCATCGTGTGAGATTTGCGGTAAGGGTCATTTTAAATTAATGTGTACTGAAAAATGTAATCCCGAAAATTCGAAACGATCGCTCCAGGTTGAGGAGAAACAAATCAAAAGTAAGGACTCCACTCTGTCTAACAAAACAGCTACTCGTAGAGTTTTCTTGCAAACACTTATTGTTCACCTAAGGAATACGAATAAAACGAAATACATAAGGGTATTGTAAATGAATACTGTAATTGACTCAGGTAGCAGTAAATCTTACTTGTCAAATTTTGCAATAATGGAAATGGGAAATGAATGTATTGGTGAAGAAATTTTAACACATAGTTTGTTCAGCGGTATAGAAACTACGGAAACACATCAGAGATATTTGATTCGCCTTAGTGACTTTTCGGATAATTATTGATTTAATTTCGAGGTGTTAAATAAAGAAAAAAATTGTTCCGATGTCCCAAAAATACCGCATGGTAAATTTATGATTAAAATTAAGAAATATAAAATTTTCCTGTCTGATTTGAATAATAAAGTAGATCTGTTGTATCAATTCTCTCCTGACGATATTCATGGACTCGTAGGGGCTGATGTAGGTAAACTGTATACTGGAAACATAAAATAGTTAGACTCAGGTCTAGTCTTGATGGAAAGGTGGCTTGGATGGACACTAATGGGTAAGACTGATACGATCGAAACTTCAGATAGCACGAATAGCGTTATGTCGCTACACGTAAACGATGCAAAAATTTCAGACTTATGGCGACTTGATACACTTGGAATTTTGGACCCTGGAGAGAAGGGAACTCGACAAGAGCTTGAGATGGCAGCTGAAGAACATTTTAACAGAAGTTTAAAATTAGATGTCGATGGAAGGTACGTTGTAAGTCTCCCGTGGATACAAGGCCATCCTCCTTTGCCCACTTGCAAAAATGTTGCAGAACAAAGGCTAAAGGGCTGCGTTGAATCACTGAAGAGGAATGGAAACTTAGAAGCATACGAAGAAGTGTTTAGAGAGTGGCTTCAAGAAGGCATTATTGAAGAAGTTAAGAATTCCTGTAAAGAAGAAAGTGAACACTTCTTACCTCACAGGGCTGTAGTGAAAGAAAATTCCACTACAAGAGTCAGACCGGTCTTTGATGGATCAGCCAGAGAAAAGAACTCACCTTCTATCAATGACTGCCTGGAAAAGAGTTCCAACACCGTCAAGCTCATTCCCGCCATCATGAATCGATTTAGATTAAAGAAAATAGGCGTTGTTGCGGACATTCGTAGAGCATTCCTACAAATTGGACTGAGTGAGAGTGATCGACCATATCTAAAGTTTTTATGGTGGGAAGGTGGTGATCCTGCCAAACCTAAAATTTTCCAGCATAGACGGGTTGTGTTCGGACCTTCATGTTCCCCGTATCTTTTGGGAGCAACCATTCGATTTCATTTACAGAATGCTCCTCACCGTTTTGAAAAAACAGCCACCAAGCTGTTGGAATCCTTTAACGTGGATAACTGTGTTACCAGTGTGGAAAATCCCGAAGAACTTGAGAAATTTATTGAGGAATCCAAGCTGGTTCTTAGCCCTGCCAAATTCGAACTTCGAGGGTGGGAGCACGTTATAATAATCAAGACTTTGAAGACCCTTTGCCTAAAAATGAAAAGAATATTCCAGTTCTAGGGCTTGAGTGGAACTGAAAGAATGACTTTTTGGCGGTAGATTTACAAGAAAATGTTGAAGACGATACGCCTGTGACAAAGAGAAAAAATCCTGTCAACCGTACATAAAATCTTTGATCCCCATGGCTTCACCTGTCCTGTTACACTGGGACCAAAATTCCTCCTACAAGAGCGCCTGAAATTGAAAGTATCATGGGATACTGAACTTCTTACCACCATTGCAAAGAAGTTTGAAAAGTGGAGATGGGAACTTTCTAAGCTGAAAGAAATAGAAATTACTCGATGTCTTATTCCCAATTGTGAAGTACCAAAAAGTTTAAAATTGCATGTATTCTGTGACAATGGTTCTAACTTTTCAGGAGCTGAGAATTTGCTGAAGAAAATTGATTGGGACATCATTTCCCAATACAGCGGATCTCAAAAGATCATTTGGAAATTTAGTCCCCTTGCTGCCCCATTGCGGGGTGGGTGGTGGGAAGGTTTGATAGGTATAATCAAAGAAATTCTACGAAAGGTTCTAGGTAGAAGCTCACTTAATTTAGAAGAAATGAACACCGTTATTTGTGACATTGAAAGTGTGATTAATCCGAGACCTTTACCTATATTTCGGAAGACGTTGATGATTTAACTCCACCTACCCCTTCTATGTTTTTTGCATGATCTTAAAGAAACAGGAATTCCAGATCTTGATGTTTTGGATTCATCGTTATTAAATAAAAGACATGTTTGCCGTCAATGTGTGAAACAAGATTTAAGAAAACGGTTTCGTACTGAATATTTAGGGAATTTACGCCAATCATCGAAATCTCATAAAAATCAGAAACCCATCCAAATTGGTGATATTGTTCTGGTTTCTAGTGATAACGTCAAGAAAATTGAATGGCCCCTGGCTAGGGTGGTCGAACTCTATCCTTCTAAAGATGGACAAGTTCGCCTAGTAGAAATAAAAATGAAAAACGGAGAATTTCCGAGTGCTTAGGTTAATACCTCTTGAAATGACTGATAAAAGTGACCCCGTTATACCTGTAGCAGAACAGGATTCTATTCTCAATGAACCGAAGACAGATGAAAATTGTCTTTCAGAGACCGCTTCTGACAACCCAGTATTAGCTCAAAAGATAACTCCTTCTAAGCAACGAACTGTTAACGATTTTTTCCCAGAGACGGTTCCTGAAAAAAGATCCAGATATAGATGATTAATTAAACCTAGAATTAGGGTTTGAGATTCCCTGGTTCGAATCTCAAAGGTGGGAGGATGTGGATATGTGATACTTCCGCCTGTGCGCGCGCATAACGGATTGAACTGATTACGTAAGTTTTAACCGCGCGCTCAACGATTTATGATGTAATCAGTGTTCTATTTTTAGTTTAGTTTATTTTTGAATGCCTTAGGATATGGATGCGTAGTTTTTGATTTCTTGTAATAACCTCTCTTTTATAACTTGTGTACAGATTAAAGTTTTAAAAAGCTGAACCTGTGCGTATTTTTTGGATACACCTGAATGAAGAATTCGGTGATTCAGGTAAGTGCTATTTTGCTTACCTACTGTTGGAATGCTTTACGCACTGATTAATATTGTTAATTGATTTGATGCGCTAGAGACTATTATACCTACCATGCCTAACAAGGGTGTTATGATAAAAAATGTTCATTGAAATTCATTGAAATAATAATTAGGTATAATTATACGAATCCAGCAATGATAATAACAGCTTTTTTAACAGCATGGAGCTGAACTCTCGAGTCTAAACGTTATTAAGGTGTTCATTAGCGAAGGAATGATGTCATTGAAAACCGAATCTAAGCATGAGAAACGGATTTTGCCTACGCGGTAAAATTTGCGTAAATACTTCCCGTAAGTACTGCAGCAGGATATTTGCGAATATCTAGTTAAAAAATTCAAGAAAGTTTAAAGCAATTTTGTCGATATATTTTTAAAATTTCTCTAAAGAAAGAAAATCACGAAATTTCAAACTGGTTGATGATATTTTCTAATCGATCATAAAAATGAATGTTAAATTTTTAGTTTTTTTCATAAAACATGCTCATGTTTCAGTAAGGGACAGACAGACTGCTTAATGCCAACTTATAGTTTATATACCTGTAAAATAGTTCTGACTGAAAACATAAGCTTCTACAGGTATATAAACAGTCAGAACACAAGAGGAACTAAGCAAAATATTACCCGGTTTGACGAAAAACAATTAGGATAATAATAAACAACACAAATTAATTACAATTATGAAAAATAATACAGAAACACATAGATTTTAAATTCTGTATTAATAATTCTATTCAAAATAAAGTAGTAATAAAACAAGCATGATATAAAAGACACATGATCAGTCTGCAAGGAGCAAGAAGAAATCCTGTGGATATTGTTTCAAATTTTTCAAAATGGCTTTTTAATATTGTAATTGACTTCATCATCATACTAACATTTCCTCTGTATTATTAGATATAAATTTTCGATTAACTGTGAGAATTTTTATAGCATACATTTGTTTTAAATCACCAAAAGATATTTTGTAGTAAAATGGTCATTACTTTTCGCCTTAGGAGTGGCCAATGCTGAATACACAAGTGTCTGCCATTGTATTAAATAATAATAATAATAATAAATATGTTTCAATAAAAAATTATTGCACACTTCAACAGATCAGAATCCTTTGTTTAAATTTTGAATGGTGATTGATCAAGAGCATTATTGCAATGCAGATGAAATTAACACAGTACAGATTATTTGAAGGGGATGTAGCTATATTAAAATCAGAAATTATACAGGCGTTGCCAAATTAAGTTACTAAATTTTTTTCAGATTTTATATTTTAAACAAACACACACACACACATATATATATAGAGAGAGAGAGTGAGAAAGATACATATTTAAGTCAAATGCCTCACCACTTGCACACTTTAATTGCTGAGCAATTTTACTCCATATATTTTCTTTCATCTCTACATCTGCATAATCTTTGTGAAGAGGATTATAAAGAACGGGATAGCTTTTAACTCTTTCAATAAGAACCTCTCTATCGATACTGGAAGATGAATCTGTAAAAGCAGACACAGCATATAAAAAAGTAAGGACTACTGTCACCAAAATTTTGGTGTCAGGAGCAAATAAAAGTACAATGTTTATTATGAACATTCTTTGTTCCAGTGGTTTTTAGAGCATAAGATGAGAGACAAGTTTTGTTGAGTTGTGAAAAGTTTTGAACTATTGTTTTACTTACTGTATAAATTTACTTGTAATTGCAAATTTATAATCAATATATCAAATAATTGTACATAATCCAGCATTTTATCTATTATTACTATACTTTATTATTTCATTTTAGAGATCTCTTACAGAACAACTACATGCATCTGGAACATGAGACTAAAATGTTTGGGAATCATTGCTCGATTGTGTTTGCTGTTAGCAATCAGCTCACTGTCTGCAGAAGAAGAGTTATCCATGGTGAAGCAGCAGAAGTAATGTTCAGAATTAATAATGTGAGTTTTGTCCAAGATCTCAGTTTCTAAATAATCTAGAACAGCGAGCCCCAAAGTTCTTGTACCTTAGAGAAGATTCTAGCATACTGATGAGGTAGTAGGCACATTTATTTTTTCAAAGTAAATTTACGGGCTGACATAGTTAATAATACACATTATATATATATATATGTATATAATAATTTATTTCTTAAACAGTATTGATAAATTGATTATATTATCTCCTAAGTTTAATTAAAGTAGAATTATTTTAAAAGTGTGCATCCATACTGGTAAGTTATATTTTTTAACTCTTGTGGTTGTAGATTTTTTTGGAAGTTAAATTCTTTGACAAATAAAAAGATACTACAGATCGAGGTGCTGGAATGTAAGCCCATTGCAATCCTCTGACTTGTTTAAAAAGTTGATTTGAAACTTGATGTAGTTATGAAAAAGTGTGCATTTAGGTAGGTTTTTCCATTTGTCAAGAGTCATGATATTGGAGTATATTAGGAAAAGTTTTGGTAGATCAAGTAGACTGGTATAGATTTCTTCTAGAGGAAGTGAGGTAATAATTTTTTCAAAATCATAGCAGTTAATGTTTTGGATGTTAATGGTATGAATGGTATTAATGACAGGAGTGTTATTATGAATGATCCAGCAATAGTTATGATTAGTGTTACAATCATTGAAAATAAATTTACAGATTTTATTAAGTTGAATTGAAAAATAATAGTCTATATTTTTCTTGTAATTATTAGTTCCATTAGCTATAAATCTAAATTTTAATGGTGTTTTATGGAATTTGGGAATCGCATAAAGATTAGTAAATCTGTTGTAGTTTGCATTGAAAGTAATATTGAGTTTCAAACCTTAGTTTAATTTAAACCATTATTGAATATATAATTTAAAGAATTTCATCTAAAAGAATAATGATCTTGCTGTACTTGCAATTGAATAGAAATGTGCAGCTTAGAAATTTAAATTCTTCTGTGTCATCATTTCTGCTATATCCCACTCCACCAAACAACGCAAAGACTCGGATGCCAAAGGTTGGATTCTTCTTTGTCATCATTGGATACCGCCTTAAACTCCCAGCCATGATGACTGCAAGCTGATTACTCTTCTATGTTCTCGGAAATATTACATACACACACACATATATATATACAGTCAAAAGTCGTTAATCCGGACTCGTCGGGACTTCGGCGATTCCGGATTATTGATTTTTCCGGATTATAGATCATCAGTTTAAATCTCGTAATATGGCATACAGAAATTCTAAAATTAAAAATATGAAATCGTAATTTATGAAATAAAGAACAATTATGATCTAAAGGGTATCAAAATTTACAAAAAAAAAGCTTAATATTTATTTGTTTAATTTATTAAACATTTCTGTCAATGTAAGTTGTTTAAGTTGCTTCGTTTTATGTGATCATACTTTCTCTTTAATTCTATAAACAGACATAATTTCTTGTTCAGTTACAAAGTTCCGCTGTTCAAGGTCCCGTTAATTGCTGTGCCGAGAATACCGATTAATAACTTGTCAATCGAAATTTTTTCGTTTTCACTAACCTCTCTGTCACATTCTTCATGTCTTTATCCATTTTTTCAGCAACTCCACTTTTTGTTTGTTGGACATCGAAACATACTTTCGTTTTGTAGATCCTTTGGAAGTTCCAGCATCGGAAATTCTATTTGTCATATTTGACATAATCGAAAGTTCAAGTTTACTTTTATAAAATTGCTCTTACAGTCTGCAAAAAATAATAAGCGGGATCCAATTCGAAGATTAAGGAACAATGCAATCATTAACATTAACTGAAATAGATAATTAGATAATTTTAGCTTACACCGTCCGTTATACATTAAACGCGCAGGCAAAAAGGTATTCTGCACTTGCGCACACGCATATGCGCACTAGTCAAGGTCTTACGCGCACGCGCAGAAAGTTTTTAGCTTTGAGGTCTGGATTATAGATCATTCCGGATTATGGGTGTCCGAATTAACGACTTTTGACTGTATAAAGAAAAAGAAGGAAAATAAATGCAAAAACATAATTTTAAGATATAAAAATTATTGACTCTATTCTTATATAAAATAAATAATTATTAAATAATACAAACAAAAGTTTACAGAAGCTTTGGTTTACAATTCTTTATTAAAAATAAATTTTTATAACAAATGTAATTCTTAAAATCAGTGTGACATCTGTCATTACATTTTATTGATATTTGCTTCATAATTAAGAGAGTATGATGATATTCCTTCTTATAAGCAATCATTAAGAAGTTCTGTCAACTATGTTTGAGAAGTTCTTATTTGATACACTGGATTTTAGGACAATGTTATTTTGAAGATAAAAAATTTATAGGTTATTTGAATGTGGAAAAGCCAAGAGGGTCATTTGCCTAAGAGAAGGGCTTTCTAAGGGAAATTTACTTGTACTCACACTACACATAGGAAAAACTATGAAAACTAACCATGCAGCCAGCTCATTCACCTGGGATCGAATCCAAACCAGGTTGAACTATCAGTATTTAGCAGTCTTAAACACTCGGCCATGTAGGGCCCAAAATTTTTAGAAACAGTTGCTTGAATAAACTCTGCAGCGTATGCAACTATTTAGGTTACATATTTACTTTGCAAGTGAAAAGGTTAATGAAAAAGGTGACTAATGGAAATATCAAATCGTTGAAACATTTTTCAAACTGGTCTTGAAGTAATTGAAGGTAGAAAATAAATGAGGACAAGTCGGTTTTCATTTGTAGTTTTTTTTTTTATTTTTATTTGGAAAAAGTACAAGCATTACCTATAGCTGTGATACCCCAAAAACAGGTTTAGCTTCTAGCGACTTAACAAACCCTATCACTACAGCTATATAGTTGTCTTTCCCCTACAGCTCTAAATTTAAATGATTCAATTTCTAAATTATATCTGTGAGAACCTAAATCCTACAGCCAGCAAAAGCTTATTAGAGCAAAATTCTTATTTTGGGTACAGAAATAATTCCTTATTTCTTCAATTAAATTTGAATCTTGCAAGGAGCCAATATAACTATTTCAGTATGCAGAATGAGATTAGGATTTCCTAGAAGGGCCTTTAAAAGGTGGTGCAAAGGGTAAAGGGTCTGCTAGAATAACGTTTAGTACTTTTGTGACTATCTTCATAATGTGTCCAAAGAGTAATATCCTACTACACAAAACCTCCTACTGGATGATACAGTGATACAAAATTAAGTTTGGAAATGTTTAAATGCAATAAATCCATCATTATTACCAATCATTGCTTGTGCCCCATCAGTGGTTAACACCAACTAATATTTTCAGTAGGTCTTCTTTTATAGCAAAATTTACTAAATACTAGTCTCACTGTAAATGCCAACTGTACAGTGTCTCATACATCTGTAGACTCATCAAATTGTAGTGAGGACCGATCACGTATTTACAAGTCATGAACTGCGTTTTCATATCTTTTGAACAAGCATGCATTCTTCTTGTGACAATAATATCAGACAACTCCCAAGTTTTGCACTGATAACATCATCTCATATTTATTAAAAAATACCATAAATAAGCAATTGGCACCAGCTAAAAATGCTTCTTTTGATAATTCACTATCTTGGAAAGGTTTTTTTCTTCACTGCAAGCATGTCAGAAATTTTGAAAGATGCAACAGTGGCATTTTTCCATTTTATTACAGGCTAATAAGTGAAAACTGACTGTTCGGCAAATGGGTTAGATTTTAGGTGATTTATTTTCTTCTTTCTTACATCAGATTTAAGTGAAGCTGCCATATTCAAAGTGGCATGAGTTGTCTGAAAAAGACATTCAAGAGTGTTTGTTTTAGCAATACAAAACAACTACTGTATTATATATTTATCTTTAAAATTGATGAAATAATATGATTCTTCTCAGACACAGTAGTAAAATTAAAATTTTTTGTCTTTATATTTGAGTCAAGTCACTTTGGGATTCAAATAGCAAGTATCAAGCATAATATAAAATGAAGTAAAAGACACCAACGAGGCAAAGCAACATGGCAGCATTTTTATGCAGGTTATTGTGAAAAATACTAATCAATATACATTTTTTTCAAAATGAAGTTCATCATTCCAGATATGTATAATTTGTTCTCTATAAAACACTGGCAGGCTTTAGTATTGACAGATAGCCAACTCGTAATGTTATTTACATTAATTATAAATGATTAACCAGATTGTGATTCTAAAATAATAAAACTTCATTACAATATCAGTAGTGTTTTTTTAGACTTCGAAAATTTACTAATTACTTGTGCAAAAGTTCTTGCAGCATATCAAATGCAACAAAATTATACATTAAAGATGTTAGCAAATCATAAAATGGCATTTAAAGGGCAAAAATCAACCTGCAATTATCCTAATTTAGATACTTAATCAACTGCAAACTGAAAATGATGTCAGAAATTGCTAATTTTGAAATGAAATAGTTGGTTCAATTTTCGTTGTATGGAAGTCAAACTTTCTGTGTTGTGCTTTTTACGATGAGTGCAACATTTTTCCTAATATAAGGACGAGGAGAGGGTGCAAAACGTTAAATTTAAATATTTTCATAAAACTGATTTTTATTTATAACTTTAAAATGCAACAACATGAATATTTGCACCATTTACAACATTTTTACACTTTAACTTGGAATAGAATTGGAACTATATGTCTATGACTAATGGTTGTGAAAATAAAGAGCATTAAGGACTTTTGTGGACACTGTGAATATTAAGAATTTTCATAATCTAATCATTTATGTAAATATATCATAAAAGGCAAAGTGTATGTGTAGTTTACACTGAAGAGCCAAAACATTATGACCACCACCTCAATAACACCTGTGACATTTAGTCTGCAAAACAGCAGCAACTCGCCTTGGCATGAGTGCCACAAGTTCTTGGTAGATGAGACTGGAGACAGGTTGTACCAGATGTTTAAGCAGGGGTCACAAGATAAGTCGAGATATTCTGACATGGTAGTGTTTGAACTCTGAGCTGCTCCTTCATGACATCCCAAATGTGCCCTACCGGGTTAAGATTCAGTGAGTTAGGTGGCCAAGACATTAATTGGAATTCATCCTTATACTCCTCGAACCACTCCAACTCAATTCAAGCCTTGTGACTCTGGTCATTGTCCTGCTGGAAGATTCCATATCCAGTTGGGAAGACAGATGCCATGTAAGGGTGCAACTGATCCACAATGTTCAGATAGTCTGCAGCTTTCATGGTCTGTTCCACAACAACAAAGCATCCCAGAGCCATCCATGAGAACATCTCCCTAAGCATAATACCGATACAACTAGCCACTTGACCTGCTGGACAGGGTGAGGAACTGTTTGCCTGGAAGATGGTCCAACTCTTCTCCTTCTCTGACATGACCATTGACATGATGAATGAGAAAGTGATTCATCCGACCAGGCAACTCGCTTCCACTTGTCCAATCTCAATGTTTCCAGGCCCACTATAGGCATTCTTGATAATGACGCTTGTTCAATACAGGCACATGTATGGGACAACTGCTGCACAGAACCATATCCAAAAGTGTCTGCTCAACATGTGTTATGAAACATATGCACTTGGATTTGCATTGTACTGAGATGTCAGCTGAGCCACTGTCTAGCGTCAATTTTGCTGTACCAATCGGGGGAGTATCTGACATCCTTTTTCACTGATGGCATGTGGACGTCCAACACCTTGGCATCTAATTCTGGTTTCACCATCATTTATCAATTTTGCATAAATACTAACAAAGACAGCGAACAACCCACCAGTCTTGTAGTTTCGGAGATACTTGTTCCAAGTCTTTGTGCCATTAAATCTGCTATCTGACAAATTCTCTTGGATAAGTAAACTTTCCCAACACTTGCAAAAGTAAGAGCAAGAATGATTTCTTACCTTCTCCAGCAGCAGTTAAATTCATTGCCACTTAATCACATACCCTTCACATCATCCAGACTAGTTCATTGAAAAATGTGGGGATGGTCACAATATTTTGGTATGGCAGTGTATTTTATTTACATAAATAACTTATAAGCCATCTCAATAGAAACAGAATGATAAGGCAGTGAGCCCAAAAAGGTTTGGAGAAATACTGATGCAGAACTTCACAATAAATTACAAAGATACAGCAAAAGAGGTACATATATATTGCAAAATGAGATAGAAAAAAAAATCTATTAATTTATTAAAAACACATGGTTGAAGTACCTGGAGAGTTCAGCTGTAACCTTGAACATTCAAAATTGTTTAGATATGTCTTTCCACAATTTTCTAGAAAAGAAAATTATAACTATAAAACACAGTACGTAAATTCAATATAAAATCCAATCTATTAAGTTTTAAGCATAGTATAATTAACAGCAAAATTCAAAATATTTAAAATTTTTACTTATTTCTAAGTGCATTTTTGAAAAATTATTTGGAGATAAAATTATTAATTAAAATAATTAAATAAATTGAAAAAACATTTTAAATCCAAACTGATTTTCTAATAGAATGAATTATTATTGTTCATATTACTAATTTTGATTCAACGGCCAGGTACACTGCAGGAAAAAAAAAATATTTAAAAAAAAATAGGGGGCAGTTCTATATCTCCCATTCTACAGGGCCGATTGACGAAATTCAAATTGCGTTTTTCATGTCTCGAAAGCGTGACTTAAAATATACATTAGATTCATACATAGAACTGTCCTTATGTAGCTATTTTTAAACAAAATCAAATTTTTTCTAAAATGACATGCCAATTCCCCCCCCCCCCATATTTGGATTCTACAACTCAAATTATGCCAAACTGCCAAGTTTTGTAAAATTCGCAGGAGCAGTTTTTAAAAAATTAGCTCTCAAAATTTTAGTTACTCAATGTTAATTGAATTTGATATATATTTATTAATCTCGGTTTTTTTAATTAAACTTACTTGATTCCTTCTTCCAAAATTCGAAATTCAGGCTTCCTCCAAATATAATTCGCAAATTTTTTACGATTTATTTTTAGTCCAAAGCGGCTTTGTCCCTGAAGGACTATTGTTTCCGTTTTGCGATTTTGCCTTGAAAATTTTAAAAAGGCTGTATCTTTTTTCAAACCGTTGCCACCAAATAGTATCGCCCTGCATTATATTTGAAGAAATTAAATAATGAAGAATCTGCATAAATGTATGTAGGTTTCTCGCAATGTGATACAACAACGGTACCTAGAACCATCAAAATTTGAATAACGTAATCTTCCGTAGAATATGGGCATGCGGAAGCCCAAATTTGAATTTCGGAATTTGTTTTATTATCGATTTCATATTTTGTAAAACGTTAACGAATTTTTGATTAACAAACTCAAGGATTTCAAAGCCAAAAATGGCTACGTTGTACAGAAAAAACATTTTTATCTCCAGCGCGCGAGTCTCTGTACCGGAAATTCTAAAGATATGCTCATTTTAAAATTATTTCGGACATTGCTGTTGAAGTGAATTTTATGGTTTAAGTGCAAAGAACATGATATTCAATAAAGGTAACACACAAAACGGTAAAAAAACGCCCCTTTAGAAGTAATTTAAAATCTGAAACCTTTCAGTTTTTTTTATTTGTATTTTTAAATATTTTTTATACATTATTCGAAAACGTTTTTGTATTATTAGGTATAAAATTTTTAACATCATCTTAAAGTTGATGTATTTCTAGACACACCTGAAAAAAATTAGAGTTTTTTTATTCAAAATTTTCTAAGATATACATGAATATACATTTTGGAGAGTTTTGAAATTTGGATTCTTGTTTTTGGTCGATAATAACGCCAAATGTGATTTACGCACTTTGTTAAAATCGTTTTAAAGTATGGCCGATGACTCAGCTTCAATGAAAAAAAGAAAAGGAAAATAGGTTGCTATAAATTAAGAAGTTCGCCAAATAAATTATTCTTGGTGCAACTGAAAAAATACGTCAGGATAAATTTTTGAATTTCTCCGTAAATTTCGCACCAAATTTTATAAAATTTAATATTTAGGCATAATTTAAGTCGTAGAATCGAAACACGCAAAACGCAGTTTGAATTTCGTCAACTGGCTGAGTAGAACGAGAGATATAGAGCTGTCCTCCCCCCCCCCACAGTGTACTTGCCGATTTGGTAGTCTTCAAGTGATCTACCATTCTACCTCATCACTGAATACATATTTTGTCAAAAAAAGGTACCCTTAAAAAATAATCCGATCATCTTGAAATTTTTTAATGAAAATTCCTTTATATCAAGTGTATAAATGATTAAATTTTCAAGGCCAATATCAGTCATAGTATGCATTTCTACTGCACAACCAACATCGTATAAAACAGGTAACAGTTGTGAACGGTTTATCAGTTATATTACTGACACATATTTTAGAAGATAAGCAGGTTGACCATTATATAACACAGCAGAGAATGGAACGATAATTCAAGATGGTAAATAGGGGATTATCAGTTGACACGAAAAGAGGAAATTAAAAAATAAGCAATCTTGGATTTACTGTTAAGAAAATGGCCCAATTGTTTAGATTAAAAACGGAAAAAAAAAACCATTACCTCTGTACCAAATTCAGTTACTTGCCAACATTTTAATCATACCTTTGGGGTATGCTACCTAAAGCCAAAATGTGTTAAATGTGTGGGACCGCACAAAATAATCAATTGCACTGATAACAAAATTAGAGGTGGTTAGGTGTTGAAATTGCAGTTTAACTCGCCACACTGAAAATTATCATGGTTGTTCCAAATTTCCAAAATTTCACTCTCCTAATGTTCTTTCTAATGCAAATTATCACCCTGTAAAACTAATCATGACATATCGACGATTAATAGAACTACAAGCATCCTATATGCAGATGTGGTTAAAAATAAAACAAACGTTTCTAATAGTAATTTGACTTAGCATGGGATACCAGGCTTTGATGAATTGTTCAGTAGCTTTAAACAGGTTGTTAATTTGCTTAAGCAGCTGAGTAAAATATTTAAGGGAATTTCTGTGCATAACGTTGTTAAAAAAATTACTGATGGTATATCTTCACTCCAGGGTACGGACAACTCCATACATAAACTGTTTATTGTATTTTCAATATTTGAAGATATTTTTAACACCGTAAATTAAGCTTTACTGCCTACTTAAAGTATTCGTATTTTGTTTAAATATTCTTTTTTGTATACTTGGTACATATTTTTGTACTTTTTTGCATTTTATTGTTATTAGTGGCACTACGTGCGTTCGCACTTCCTTGTATTATTGTTGCTCATCAGTTAAGCAGTTTCTTCATTCCAATTATGTTTTTGTGACTCTTAGTGATTTGTGATTAATGCCACATTCTGTACGTCATTCTTCACACTTCTGGTTATTTGATAAAATTGATTTCGAAACTTAAAAGTTTTATCCAATTAGGGTTAGGGCACTCTGGTGCTCAAGCACTCCTAAACCATGCTTGAATGGTTTATCATTCGCTCAATCTGCATGGGTATTACAGTAGTAAAAGAACTTCCAAGCGTGAGGCCCTTTACACTGTACCATGAAACTCTGGTAAGAGTGGGATAAAATTCTTGCTAAACACGAGAATAAATAACGAAAGCATCAAACAGTTTATCTATTCTTGTTGTCGGCGTTGCAACCCCTAGAGACACAAGCAAGAATGCCATTACAATGTAGTCGAAGACTTTATAGTCAACTGGACGACTTCGAACATGGCCGCATAATACGGATGCGTGAAGCGGGTTAGTCATACCGAGCAATACACTGACAATAATGTACTGGCAACAATGGTTATTGCAAGGCACTCATCGACGGAATCAAGAGTGTGGAAGGCGAAGATGCATGAATGCGGGGCAAAATCGGATGATTGTGCAAAGGCTCGAACTGCCCCAACGGCATCATCATCTCCTATCCAAGGTTCTGCAGCCCCTACCATACCATCATGGAGGTAGAAAGTAAGATGGAGTCGCCCTAAACAAGTTTCTCCGTACCCTGCTCTGAAGCACCGGCGATCCCTACGTGGTGACCAAAACATTGGGTCATTTACCATTGAGTTCTATGGGATTTGACGCGTTCGGGTGTAAATATTTTGTAATTACGTCGCAAATATACATATAAATGTATATATTTTCTTTTTCTACAACACTTCAGAGTCCTAAGTATGTGAAAACAACATATTTTTAAACAACATTTCATTCTGAACGGAATTAATGCTATACTTTTCACAGGACAGTTTTCTCAGAATGGTTTAATTTGAATGAAATATTTTCACAAGTTTTCGTTAATTACATTAGAAAAAAAAAATTAAGGTAATTCGATTTATTCGGTTAAGGTACAAAATTAAGATCAAAGTTTATTGTATTATTAATATTAAAATTATGCATTATTTCTTTTCTATTTATAGAGCTTCTTCCTAAAATACTTTCCTAAATATGACATGATTTTTTGGCTTCTTTTAAATCGAAAAATGTAAGTCAATTTATAATTAATGCTCTATTCGGTTCATTTAAATTAGAGAATTATTAGGAATTAGTGAAATACTTTAAATAAGTATTTCGCTAATTCCTAATAATTAAATAGGTATTAAATAGTATTTGACTATAAATAGTATAAATAGGTATTAAATAGTACTCTGAACATTTCTGAAAGGGAATAAAATAAGTTTTTTTTTTTTTTTTTTTTTTAAGTATTATTTAAAACTTGTAACTGAGTTATTATAAAATGTAAAGGGAATAATTCTTTTAATTATACTTATTAGATTTTTTTTTTTTTTTTTTTTACCCTTCATTTCAACAATACATATTCCAAAACTCTTTATTACGTTCTTAAGTGCGCATCTCATAGCATTTGCTTTACAATACCTTTTAACAGATTGCTTTTCAATACGAACAATTCTTGCTTAAATAGTTTTATAACGTATTTGTCAACAGGATTTCAATTTATGTTTACAATTGAATATTAAGGTTATTATATATTTAGATAACATTTATAATCATTATAAATTAGGTACATTTAATCATTAGATTTCTTCACAGTACTTTCACAGTTGTTTATAAGTGAATAAATTCTTCATTTCAAATACATTTATAAATAATTTAATGAATATTTAAGTATTTTGTCAAAGGCAGATACATGCTTTTTGCAAGCACATGCATAAATACCCATACATATTTCCTATTTATCATTTCCGGCATGTGCAAATCTTTAATTTCTGTGCATTCGCTATATTTTTCGTGTAAAGTAATTTACACTAATTTAGCATACACCCGAAAGTTTTACATAAAAAATATATATG